TCTCTCTCTCTCTCGCGCTCTCTTTGTTCTCTCTCTCGCGTGCTCGTTATGCTTATGCTGTATCCTGGCGTCCGAGTGTGCATGGATCAACCCGAAGGTTGGCCCCGCTGCTGCCGGTGTTAGAGGAAGCATAGACGAAGCGCAAAGAAATCCTGCACTGTCAGCCTCCAAAAATCAGTAAGGCTTCGTGGAAATGAAGATGGACTCGGAAGTGCCACGCATTGTGGTGCCTGTGACCCTAGGGGTTGTCAGATCGTCAGGTATCAAGCCGCTCGAAATCAAGGAAGGGACTCTAGCGAGGTCGAGTTTTCGTTTTTGTGATGCTGGTTCTGCGATGGTACGGGCATCGTAAAGCAGACCACTCAGGATATCGCCTGATATAGTCGACTTCCAGACCTTGGTTTCCTCGATCCAAGCTAGTTCCCGGACTGCAGATACAGTTGCGCATGTATGGCATGGCCTTCGGTCTGTGGGCCGATTCCTGTGTTGCACCACGACAGCAGCAGTAGCCGAGGATCTATTTGGCTTTCTGTGACGAACCTGAACCCACAGCCCATTCAGCTGCTATCTCTGTTCGATCCGACGCAGAACCTTTCCGCTATTAGTGAGACCCAGAGAACCCAATACCCCTTAATTAAGGAATATACCTTAAATTATAGGGGCCTTAATATGATGATTTAAGGTATATTCCTTAATTAAGGGGTTTTGGGCTCTCTGGGGATGTGCAGAGTTTTCAAAGCTGTTTGGCCTAGCCTAAGCTCCAATGCAACCAGGAATCCGAACCTGCAGATTTCCGGATTCGACCACAAGAAAGGTGGGGACGGACATAGGCATGGCAGGTTTTGAAACATTCAAACGCCCCTTGGGGAGGCATCAGTGTGGCTTCTGGATCACAAGTGCGCTTCGCCAAAGTGACTTACCATGGCTCCAGAGAAGGACAAGTTCAGGGCTGCTTGGACTTGCCATGCCCTGCACCGGGATGCGGTGGTTGCGCCGTCGCGCAGTACTACACGTACCCTCACTCACATGCACACGCACACATACAAACATGCATAAAGACAATGTGCGTATGTATATGTGTGTACAGAGCACAGACGACACCCATACATAGCTTTGGATCCTCTTTGTCTTTGTAGGGAGAGACATGCTTCACATACGATGCCTTGCGGTTGTGGGGGGCTAAGCCAGACTGTTGGTCTCAAGTTTCGCTAACAATGCACACCTTGCCGACTCCAGCCCGGTTACGAAGCCTACCTTCAGTAATGTGATGCTTATCCAACGTTCTCGCATCTTGCCTCAGAGTTTCGGTTGATTTATCGGAACATGCGTCCGCAATTCGCATGCGCATGACGAACTTTCTTTACATTCCATTCTATCTATTCTCCACGTTCAAAGGCGTTGCCTGTTGAACTTCCAAATTGCTGCATTCGCGAAGTAGCACAGCAAGAGCACAGGGACCTTCCAAAAATGCATGTAAATTGCTCCCCAATGTTGAAGTCCAGTAGTACTGTAACAGTTAGTCCGTGGTTCCAGCATTCCAAAGCCATGGGCAAGCATTTTCGCACTTTCAGCATCTCATAGAATACGCCTGCGAGCAAACAGTTCCATAATCCTACATGTGTTAATTCCACCATTCCACAAGTCAATCGTGCGGAAACTAGCATTATCAATGGGTCATGAGTTGCCGTTGGAACTATGAATAAATATTGCCTATGGATTGTGGAATTAGGGAACTCTGCGCCCACGAAACGACGAATGTAAGGAGCTCATGGCGTTATGGAATGAATGGTTTCGCGTCTTGTAGAATGGAATCATAGAATCATAGCCTCACAATGGCAGCATGCACATACTTTCACCCATCTACATACATGCATCTGTGACACACGCATGATGGGAAAGCAAGTTGGATAAGCTACTGTCTAAGCGACTCCTGCAAAGGCCCGTAGAGATATGGATAGGTACATAGATGTACGTGATTGTGCAGAGAGCGAGTGCCGAGTCGTGTGCTTTTCAACTTCGACGATCTCGGAGAGTCAGGGGTTGAAGCAGGGCCCCGGTAGTGAGCAATGCTGGCTGCATGAATGTTGGGGATCCTTTGGGTTGGTGGTAGGAGTTCTGGCCACTTGCGGGGTCAGGGGCGCGAATTGAGGTCCTGGTCTTGGGTTTACTGCAGGTTCCAACCATTCCAACCCCCTATCTGACTCAGATTCACAAGAGAGAGGAGCGGGGAAATGCGGGGCGACGGCTCGACATCCAACACCTAGGCAAGCTCCAGCTCATCGTCAACGATACGGATGCAGTTTCGGCAACCATGGACGTGCCTTACAAAGCCAACGTCGCTTGCCTGTGTGCTTGTGGGTGTAGAACCAGTGTCATATCACTGCCCCGCTTGTGGCTTGAGATGGGCGGAGTGGGGGGTGAGGCTCTGAACTATTTCAGGGCAGCTTCGTTGGAGGTCGGAGTGTAAATCCTTTGGGGGTGGGGGTCGGACTTGAAATTTCAAGTTTAATCCTGTGATATCGACAAATGCCAATTTCAAGATAGTCGCCGGTCGCTTTTGCAGGACACGGCTTAATGACACAGGAGGATCGTTTCCAAACCCTAAGCCGGCCCCCCCAGGCCCTGTTCTATTTCAGGATTGTTGAGCTTGAAACGGATTCAGCTCAATAAGGGAGGGCGGTGAACCTCACCCCCCCCCCCCAGCAGGGGGTATTGTTTTAAAACGCAGGGTCCGCGCACAATTCCCTGAAACCCTTGAGTCGCGCCAGTACCCCGGGGAAAGCAGTTTCTTGTCCTGGTGGTCTCCTAAATCGTAGTACTTGGAGGATCATGGAACTTAGTAAATAAGGTTAGAACTACCTTAATTGGGGTTATAAGTACTTATAAGTATACTTACCTTGTTTATAACCCTAGTTACTAAGTCCTATTATCCTCCAAGTAGTGGTCGGGTCGTCACTGTCGGCGAGGTGCTGTTTCACTCTTTGGGGATCAACGCTGGCGTAATCTGGATTTTGGAGTCCCAGTAATGTCCTGTGAGGCTGAACCTGTCGCTCGGTCTGAGGGATAATGGATACTTGGAGGATCATAGGACTTAGTAACTAGGGTTATAAACAAGGTTACTATACTTACAAGTACTTATATAACCCCAATCAAGGTAGTTCTAACCTTATTTACTAAGTCCCATGATCCTCCAAGTATTGGAAGGCATCCAGAAAAGGCAGCACCTCGTGGGGTTGTAAAATAACCCCGGGCCTCGCCGTTGACTCTTGGCCCGCCCCTCTGTAACAATCCCTGGTTTTGCTCGGGAAAACGATGACAAGAAAAAAACCGATAACATTCTTCGGGAGTTTGGGCCAGGACCCTAAAAGAGGCATTTCCAGTACTGAAGTTGTACGACAACCCAGCACAATCCAGCCAGGACCCCAAACGAGGCATTTCCAGTACTAAAGTTGTAATACAACCAAGCACAATCCAGCCAGGACTCTAAACGAGGCATTTCCAGTACTAAAGTTGTACGACAACCCAGCACAATCCAGCCAGGACCCCAAACGAGGCATTTCCAGTACTAAAGTTGTACTACAACCAAGCACAATCCAGCCGGGACTCTAAACGATGCATTTCCAGTACTAAAGTTGTACTACAACCAAGCACAATCCAGCCAGGACCCACAACGAGGCATTTCCAGTACTAAAGTTGTACTAACATCAAGATTGGTGGTTTTCACTGGTAAAACGATGACCAGAAAAAAACGATAACGTGATTCCGGGATAGGGTTATCTTACAACCCCTCGTCTCCCAGGTGCTATATGGCTCCTTGGGCAACCTGCCTGCAAGCACCCACGCTCCTGGGGCTGGTGCGGTCAGCGAGCTCCCAGAGTGACAGGACTGTCACTGTGAGCTTCCTGGCTGCACCATTGCGAGCATGCAAGCTAAGGTTTCATGAACGACAAGACCAAGTTTCTGTCTACACCGGGAAGAGTCACATCCACGATGCGGGCAATCATGGTTTCCAACAATTTTTCAGAGCCTTGTCTGGCGTTTGTGATGGGTCCCAGTGCAGGAATCCGTGAGAAGGATGCTTGATCAACACTGGGACTGAGGTTCCAATTCAAATCAAGTCTGCGAAGATTGAGGCATCTGGGTGTGGGTAGTCGAACACTGAGTTTCCATAAGAATAAACATGAGCTGAATGGCGCCAGGATCCCAGCTTCAAGATTTCTCACTTCCAAGCAGATATTGTCTTGCAGCCGGGGGAGGCGGGAGTCGTGAGCTTTGCGGAAAGCTCTGAAGTCGACGATTGCATCTTTGCCAGGCGACGTCCCTCATGCACTTGGAGTATACCTCCAATGGCACTAGTGCCAGAAGCTGAGAAGAAGCATGCGTTTCAACACTCTGCCCATGAGAACAGTCACGGCCTGCGCCCAGATTCTCTGCACAAGAGACTTGGAGTTGGCTACCAATGTAACGGCCAGGGCCCCAAAACCCTTCGACTCCACTTGCCCTTTGCAGTCCCGCAGCCGACAGGCCATGAAGATCCCCTTGCAAGTCTACCACGGCAAGCTGCACTGCCAGGCCGGGAACTGGCTTGGGGATCGGTAGTGAGTGTAGTGAGTGATGGCAGCGGCCACGCACCGTATCGAGAAGCAGCCGCGGAATGCATGGTGCAAAAGAGAAGGAAGCGTTGCCAAGCCGATGTCAGGTAGAGCTTGGCGAGGTGCAGGAGTGTGGTATGGCAGCAAGCAGCCTCGCATCTGAGCCGCAAGAGGGCCTTCGGAACACCGGAGGGCACTCCTTAAGTCCTTGGTTTGCGGCTGTTTCCGCCATATTCCGCATGTGAAGATGCGGATGCACTTCCGCCCATACAACTAGTTGTAAGCCCGGTCATGACAGAAGTGCCCTCGCTTGTAATACTCAGACTGAGCACAGCTCCACTCAGCATCATGACTTTCCGAGCCAAGTCTGTCTGGTGCTTACTAGGGAAGGGGGGAATGGGTTATTGGGACTATAAGGGACCTTAAGGGACGATCATAGGGATCTAGGGACTACTACAAGGGACCTTAAGGGACTATCATAGGGATATAGGGACTACTATAAGGGACCTTCAGGGACTATCATAGGGATCCATTCCCCTATTCCCTACTAAGCCCTCAACCCTAAACCCTAAATCCCTAAACCCCTAAACCCTAAACCCCATTCCCTTAATTCCCTGCTAAGCACCAGAGAGACCTAAGCCCTAAACCCTAAACCCCATTCCCCCTATTCCCTACGAAGCACCAGACAGACCTAGGCCCTAAATCCTAAACCCTAAACCCCATTCCCCTATTCCCTACTAAGCACCAGAGAGACCTAAGCCCTCAACCCTAAACCCTAAACCCCATTCCCCTATTCCCTACTGCGCACCAGAGAGACCTAAGCCCTAAACCCTAAACCCTAAACCCCATTCCCCTAATTCCCTACTACGCACCAGAGAGACCTAAGCCCTAAACCCTAAACCCTAAACCCCGTTCCCCTATTCCCTACTAAGCACCAGAGAGACGTGGAAGGACTTGGACATGGGCCTCTTGAGCGTCTCGGAGGTCCGACGTTCCCGCTACTCGGCTGTGGCGAAGGGTAAATCCAGAGAACCCAATACCCCTTAATTAAGGAATATACCTTATAAACTATAGGGGCCATAATATTATGATTTAAGGTATATTGCTTATTTAAGGGGTATTGGGTTCTCTGGGAAAGTGAGAGTCCCGAGCGGGTTGAGGAAAAAGATTGGGGCAATTTGGTAACCCAGCTGTTGCAGTGGCCTGTCGATCGGCCTCGTCGGTCTCCTTACCTGCCCTGCAAAGAAGACCCCGGGTTGAGAAGCTGGGTTTGACATCGGGGCCTAAATTTCATGGCACGTTGCCGAGGAATCAACATCTCGCCATTCGGATGCAGAGAATCATTGCGCAGCCGCCCACGAGATGGCATCCGGTGCAAGGTTTGCAAACTCGCGCCAGAAAGTCCTTTCAACTTGTTTGTGCGCCCCCTAAACCCCTAAACCGCTGGGGACTCAGGAATCCCAATCCGGTCAATGTGACCATCGAGAGCTTCAGCTTCAGCCACCCTAGCATTAGCCTCCACATGGATGGCATCTACACCCCTGAGGCAGCATTGGCATTGGGGTGGTTGCAGGAGGGGGGCATGGCAGGGCATGCTGCTCGTAAGATATGTTTCGTAAGAGCATCGGCGTCTTTCAGCTTCATCGCCAAACGACCAAGTTCCGAAGGTATTCTCGGCATGTCTCCCCCCATCAGCAATCACAAAGGGTTTGATGATGTGATTCCCGACTGCCGCCCGCAGGGACAGCAAGTGCGATCATCGAGGCCGATACCCAGGCAGTCTCACACCAAAAAGGCAGCCTGGCAAAGACATGGGTAGCTTTCTAAATTAGGGTTCCTTATTGGGTCCAGATTATATGGGTGCCGTACTAAATTGGGGAAAAAGGGACCCTAATTTAGAGAACTACCCACGTCGGAGATTGGCCGAGCGAAGCGGCAAGATGGAGGTTGCACCTGAAAGTATGCATGCGGCAAATTCAGCGCATGCCAAGGTACTGACGCTGCAAGCTGGTCACCGGCTAGCCTTGGCTCTTGAGGTGCTAGCGCAGGAGTGCCGATGTGGCAGAGGTGCACTGAAAAGTTGTAGTGATATTTTGCCATCAATGCAGGAGCCCACGACTGCTAGTGCACCTCCAGTGCCAGGGGCTGGGTGGTCTTCTGCGAGGAAAGGGGGCACAGTCGTGGGGCAGCAACTAAGGAACGCCAGTGTAACCTTGGTTACCAAGCGTGGCGAGAAGATAGTCCTGCGCATGAGGTGGGGGCGATTGCAGGTGAGTCAGTCTAGATATTTCAAATTCTGTTCCGAGCAGCACAGGTGTCGAAAATGCAAGCACTCGCCCCTGTCCAGGTACGAGAGTGTACTGGGCAGCCTTAGTTTCTCACCTGCCAGCCTGCGCTTCGAAGCGTCGTTTCCGGGGCAGGCAGGCAGTCCCTGGAGCATGACTCTTTGTGTTTGCGCTGTTTAGATCCAGGTGCAGAGTCGCGTCGTGGCAGCGCGGTCTACCTTCGAGCAGCCGCTGCAGCTCAATGCAGGAGCCCGGATCGGAGCTGAGGATTTTCAGATTCGGCTTGGCCAATTGTGACCTTTCTTCACTGGTCCAAGACCACCGCCAGCTTCAGCAGCAGATCCGCCATCACAGCAATCGATGTAAGCGCCGGCTTCCCATCAGCGAATTACCATCATGATCACAATCAGCATCTTCACCATCATTGCCACACGCCATCCTCATCATGGCCGTCAGTGCCATCGTCTGTCTCGGCCACGGCCACCACCGCCGCCACCACCACAACCGTCGCTCACCATCAACATATCACCGCGAAATCACAGCGTCGGCAATGGAGCAGGACATAGCGAAGCAACAGATGCAACACTGTCCTTTCAGTGTGTGGCTTCCGCCCAAGCCAGAACGAAGCCACCCTGCAACAGACATTGTTATCATCCATTATCATCCTGAATTTTCAGCATTGCGACATGTAGACTACTGTAGACTTTGAAGGCCAATGTTGCGCTTGCCAGCAGGAATCCATGTAGAGCACCGGTTTAGGGCCTCATCGGGGTGGGCCTGGTGTTTTTTTCTTTGCCCTTGGGGGCAGGTCTGAGGGCCTTTTCTCGGATCTGCGTTGTTTGCTTCAGCTGCGCCATGAGTTCTCCTTGGCAGTTCGTTCCACCGACAGCCGGATCACTCCAGAGCTCCTGACCAAGACTTTGAAACCTTTGGCTCGGACCGAGGTTGCAACCCGCTTGCAAGTGTAGCAGCAAGGAAAGAGACCATCTTTCGATATATATATATATATATTACACGTCAATTTCATATTTTAGTCTGATATCCATCTAATATATATATATATTACATTTCAATTTCATATTTTAGTCTGATATCCATCTAATTTCGATTTATTAAACAGTTTCGGAAGACACCTGCGTTTGGCTCAGGTACGGGTCTACTACGATCCGGCGAAGGCGCTGGTTCGATCAGTTCGGGGTGGCTGAAGGGCCTTCTCGTAACCCAGAGACTCCAATACCCCTTAATTAAGGAATATACCTTGAACCTTATTAGGGATCCTACTGCAATTTAAGGTATATATTACGGGGTATTGGAGTCTCTGGGAATTTTAATAGCACGGTAGAGCTGGACTGTTCGAGTAGGGACACGAAGCGGAAAGAGTGCAGGCAGCTTCGCTCGGGCCGCCGCACGGTTCCCCGACAGCACTTGGTCAGCTGTGAGCCTCTTGTCACGCTTGGCTAAGTTCCTCAAACACGACAGGGCTGTCAACGAATCGGCCCAACCAGTAAAACCAGTCTGGGCAGCCATGTATCATGTAAGACGGTTTGAACAAATCATTGCATCCTCCTGTGAGGCGCAGCATCAGCCGAGGCTCTTCCAGCGGTTAGGGTGCTTCGTGAGAAGCTGTTTTCAAGAGAGGCGTCGTTTTGCGTCAGGTCTGCTTTTTGCCCTGCAGGACGCCTCGCGTGGAGCGTTGGCTGCTTCAGTTTCGGGCGAAGCTGTTTCGTGGAATCACCCACTTACGTGATTTGGCAGATGTTCGGCATGCATGATGCCTGAAGCTGCGGCAAGCTGACGGAGGAGAAACCTTCGGATTACTTTCCTTGCAGACTGGTGCCTTGCAGACTTGTGACAACCAAGACTGGATTTCCTGGAAAAGTGGATGGCCCGCCAGAAGTCTGTCACGAATTCCAATGGCTGCTCTGCAGCAACGGTGGCATGTTGTGTGTGGCCCATTGCCTGTCACAGCCGCTGCTTGCACTGGCGATATTGCCTGTGTGTTGCGAGGTAGAGGCACTTCAGAGATCGAAGCCACGCTAATATTCGATACGAACATAGTTGCTGGAGCCACCTTGACTGCCCCTTGATTGCACATATTCGTCGATGTTGACGAGATAGTTGAAAGCATTCTTCTGCGAGCTGGAGGCGTGTTTTGCAACAAGGGTTGAGCGTTTAAGCGCACTGCATGATGTCCCGTCCTCCAGGTACAGGCATCTCTGATGCAAGCACACTCACTGTTTGAGCCATTGCTGTCCTTCGACCTGACGCAAGTGGGCGCTTCCAAGACTCGACGCTTGGCTTTAATGCACAGGGCTGGCATTGTTGAGGGTAGTCCGACTTGCTAGTAGGCAGCAGGCGGGATTGCCTAACTGTCACTCCAGCATCGTAAAGTGTGGCGCAAAGGTCGTGCACTGTGCTAGTCGCTAGTCAGCTTCAACTAGCGGTCCACCCGGACCGAGCTCAGCCCAAATTAATCCATAGACCGCCTGCTGTGCATGTCACTGCGATTCCGTTTTCGATCCTGAACCTCTCAGTTCTAACGACTTATATAACTCTTCCAGCGGTGTGGCTCTTGGTTTGTTGGAGCCGTGAGATAATTGTAGGGTTCATGAGGGTGGCTTGGCTGCACTCCTGAGCCATGCTTGAGCCGAGCAGCCTACAACTCCTACAGTTCCTACAGAAGACAGAAACAAAAAGACCAGAGCTCGAACCTAAGAGAGAAGAAACTTTATGCGAGCTGTCAAGTGTAAACCTTAAACATCCTTAGACATGCCGAGTTCCAATGTTTTCACGCCGACTGTCGAACATGGATCCTCGCCTGGCTTGTCCGAGTTGTGAGAGTGTAAACATCCTTAGACTCAACCTTTCTTTCAGGCGTTTTGAACCATGCAGTTACCATCAGGACGTTGTGCCAGCATTGATCGCCTTGCGCAGATACATAATGGCAGAGACACGCTATAGAGTTGCACACTGCATCGCAATTCCAGACTGGTTATGCCCAGTTTAAAGAGAATATGTGCTCACTAGTTACTAGTTACCCCGCAAGCTTCGCCCAACCAGTTGGAGACATGAGAGCCATGCGGAGAAGGTTGCAGGCAGTTGTGCTGCTGATGGTGTTGCAGGGGCAACCGAATTCTGGTGGCGTCAGTGTGCTTGATGGTGCAAGGAAACCACTGCCCCCAGCACCAGCACGTGCTGCTTTGCGAGACTGGGTACAACGCAAGGCTTGTTGTTGAAAATCTGGAATTGCCATCGAATCCTGTGAACGACACCCGCATTGAACAGCTCATGTCCGATGTATTGTCGTGTGACAACCTGTCTGGCGTGGTGTCTACACTGAGCCTGGGACTGGTAAGTCGGTTGCCCTCACAAAGGCTGTGATTCAAGCGGCACGCAACGGGACAAGGCCACATTCGTTCGTGTTGTTGGAGGGAGCTTTGAACCTGCAGCTGCGGGATTTTTCCACATCTCAGACGAAGATTTTGCGGCCAATATTGCCCCACCTTAATTCATCGCCCTGCAGCAGAAGGCACTCCGATACTTAATATTCGGGCAGCGTCTTTGGACAACGGTGTTAAGAGTGACTTGGTAGAAGACAGGCTGAAGGCGATGGCGAGACCCGCTGCAGAGCATGGTCACCAAGTGATTTTACCAGGTAAAGATCCAGAAGCTGCGATGTTCATTGGTGGATTCGATTGCACGGCGATACAACCTGTGTCGCTCCTCAACAAAGCAGAGCGCCCTGGTCTCGTCCCGTTCCACCTGTAGCATTAGTACAGGTGGAATTGCACGCGACCAGGGCCCTGATCCAGAGCTTGGGTAATGGACGGCTGCTAGACAGAGATCAAAATTCTCAGAGAGTCGGCAATACCTGATCACATTGGAGGTTGGAGACCTCGGGCTACCAAGATCTTCATCGCAAACGGTCGGAAGCCTTCAGCACAACTGCGTCAAGCACAAGCAGGCGCTCCTACCGCGCTGGCCACTGCTGTTTGGGCCAGGCAGCTCGAGAAGGACGGCGGTGGCTTTGACTTCGCTGGAACGGCGTTCCCAATCGACCCAGTGCCCCAAAACATTGCTGCAGAAAGCAATCAAAAAGGAAGAAGAGCTTTCCTCCATCGCATTTTCCAAGATCGGTTTACAGCCAACAGGAGGGTGGTCAATGGAAGTTAGAAGACGAAGAAGCGTCCGTTGAACGCGGTGCCTCGAAGTCGGACTGCTATGGTGACACCGTGCCATAGAGACTTCTCTATCCATCAAGTTGGGGTTTTCCGAAAATAGGGGACCCCAAATTAGCACCCTAAATAGTAGGATCCTTCTAATAAGGACCCCCAAATAAGGTACCCCTTGTTTTCGGAAACCCTCAAGTGAGCATCGGGAGCTTCCCCAAGCCGACCAACTTGTGCGGGAATTGTTTCTTTGCGTACGCGCCGTCTCCTCGATGAGGAACAGGGTGTTACAAGCGTATGAAGACCTCGAGCATTGACGTGCAACCCATTGCAGATGCCGTGCCATCTCGCTTGAATCTTTCCAAGTTTATTGGGTCATTTGCTCTCCCGGATCTTGGGCCGGGCTTCCCAGATGTTGACCTACGGATGTCAAGTTTTAGAATTTTAGGCAAACGTTGCAGGGTTCGTGCATGCAGACGGAAGCACTCAGTCGCTCGGTCAAGCAGGTGCGGCAGCTTGGAAGCATCAGCGCGACCTGAGCCCTATCAACCAAAATGGCGCAGTACGCAGTCGGACGGTGCATGGTCCGCCTGCGCAGACAGACACGGCGCACACCGATGCAGCGAGGGTGGCAGGGAGCGAGGACATAACGAACATTCTAGGAACATAAAAGGCCCGACACCTCCAAGTCAACAATGCAGGGCTCGCAGTGACTGCTATAGCAGGAGTGTGGTCGCTCCCTTGATAAGGCTGGTTGCTGGTTCAGAACCCATCTGAGTCCCCTCTCGCTACTTGGCGACAATTCCACATGGTTTGCTTTGCGTTCGGCTTTCGGGTAGCCCATGTTTCTGATCGTTGCTGACAGACCGGGAGGGCCCTCCGCCCCTGCAACCTTGCTTTTGTATAGTGACTGGTATGAAGAGTGTCATGTTCCAAGGCTTTGCAGCTCGTGTTCCCGGTCTGCTCTGCGGCCGGCTTACTCTAGCGGGCTGCAGTTGAAACCGATGCTGTAGCGGCGATGTAGCTCAACGGAGGCAAGGAAGCCAAGAGGATCATAGAGGAACGGACGGCCTGAGGCCACGAAGTCTCGTGGAAGTGGAGACAACCACACGCAGACCTCTACAACATCACTGGCTCAGGCAAGCCCCCAACTCCTCAAGGGTCTCCCACACTCCAGCGGTGACCTTTCCGCAGGAAGGCTCTTCTCTGGCTGCGGACTGCGCTGGCGGCAGGGCCTTCCGCCTTGGAGCCGAGAGCGATGGAAAGGCCCAGAACTTAAGCCCTTTGGTGGGTTTAGGGTTTTGGGTTTAGGGGTTTAGGGTTTGCAGCACTGCCCGAAAGCCAAGCACGTGGTACAAGTAGCCACTCGGAGCCACGTGGGCACTGTTCGTCACATGCTGTGGAATCGCTGGAAGGTTTGGCACGTGGAACCTCTCGGTGAAGCCTCCGTTGGTCCCATAATATTCGAGCCCTTCCAGCATGCGCAGTGCCCGACCGCTGTTGGCAGCACTTTGGTTCTTCGCGTTTTATGGCTCCGAGTCAGAGCTCTCAGTCTCAGATGCGAGTCCTGTAGAGGATGTTCTTCAATGTTCTTCACATTGCTTTCTACAGACTGGCAATTTCTGCTAGTAGGAACCAAACTGCACCTTGTTTGCTCTTCGACTCCGACGTTTGGTGTAGGTACCGGACCACGCTGTACGTGAGAAACAACCTCACGACGCTGCATCAAGTCGAGCTCGTGGGACATGGTGGCTCGAGCCGCCTCGTCTTTCCCGAAGGGGTCTTGGTCCTTCGGCGCAAGACAGAAGCATTTTTAAAAATGTTTTCAATATTGCATGCGTCTCCTTATGAGAGTCCATGGGAAGGAAGCTGAGGGAGTCAGCGGCACGTAGGGCGTGTGTACGTTGGATCATGCTGTTGGGCTTGGGAGATGCAAGGTACGAGGGTTGTATATCCAGCTTTAAAGTCGTGAGGAGTTCAACCTGACCACTGCAGACTTCGGGGCAGAAGAGGACGTAGGCCCAGCTCCCGGAGAGTGCCAGCGTTCAATGCATGCTTGAAAGAGCCAGAAACATGTATTTTTGGATTTTTTGGATATGTTGTACTCATGCTGTGGACAGGCGCCTTCCAAAGCTTTGGGGGACTTGCAGCCGCTCGAAGAAACCAGTCAGATGCTTCCCTGAAGTTTAACCTTGACTGCGGAGCCCGGATGCCCAGACGGGACCCAGAGACTCCAATACCCCTTAATTAAGGAATATACCTTCAGTTATAGTAGGATCCCTAATAAAATTTAAGGTATCTTCTTAAGGGGTATTGGAATCTCTGGAGACTTCTGTTGCACTTCAGAGCTGAACTCCGCGCCCAGGACAGCAACTTCTCGGATGCGGTCGGTAGCGATCCCGCATGGCTGTCCTGGTTGACAGCTGCGAATGGAAGCCACGGAGCAGGCCCCTGGTTTTGAAATCATAGCAGAAATGCAGAAGTTGCGGCAGACCTTCCTCGTACTGCACTGACTGCACTATATCCTCTTGTGCCAGCATGTGCTCAGCGCCCAGGCTTTGGATCGGATGCAGATGGCATGGGGCATCTCGTCCCAGATATCCCTCTCTGACAGAGGAGTCGACGCGAGGTCATCCATGTTCGAGGTTGACCCGTCGGGCACATGCATACGCACGGATGCGGTGCGAAGCCACGAGACGAAGCCTATTCCTGTCCGTACAGATTGGTGATTAGCACAGATTTTCCCACATCTGGGAGCTGTGTCAAGGTCCCAGCCCTCCTGGTGGCGCCAACATCGCCGCGTCGCTGTGACAAGAAGTCTCATGGCCACGAACGACTGCGAGCTTCCAGTCGAGGCCAAGAATGGCCTCCTATGCTTAATGGAGTCTTTATGTCCAAAACTGTCAGCAAGAGGCAGTAGCTGTGGCAGAACTCGCCATGATGCATGAAGCGGGTGGCTGGAATGGGTGTGCATGTGGAGGTGGCAGAGGTGAATATCGGCGGCGTTCCTGGTTGCAGCGCTTTCGGCTTCGAGGACCGCTCGTCACAGTATTTATGTTTTTTTTTTGCATTTTCTGCCATCCCCAATGCTGTTGACAGGTGCTAGATTGCCGGCTACCCTTCACAGTGGCTCCACACGAAAGTGTCGCAGTCTCCGTCTCCTTCACTCCAGAGGTCGTGGCCTCTCGATGGGCCGCTTGGCCTAGATTTGTCGCTCAACGGAACGGGTCGCCTGAGATGTTCTTTGTGAATCCAGGCTCGGAATCTGCGCTTCCTCAGCTCTTCGGGTAGACCTGTGCTGCAGGCGTGGCCACTCGCTGCTCCAGTTTGCAGGTGTTTCGACAGATGCGTGTGTTAACTTTAAGTTGCCAGGTTCCGCTCCGAGTTAATCTGTCGCCAGAGCTACTGCCCATGCTCAGCGACTTGCCAACGTGACTGGGCATGATCCGGCATCCTCCCATTGAATCCGCTAGAATTCTGAGCTTCAGGTCTCTTCAAATTCTGGGGGACCAGACAGAGGCATCGCTTAGAAGGGCTGTCGTCGGCACAGCATTTGCGGTGCTGATTCTGATGCTCGTGACTTGCCTAAACCTGCCTTATAAGTCGCCTTGGTGGAGACTATAGATTTTAGTTTTGGCCTGCACCGCTGATTCAGTCTCAGGTAGTTGTGGCCATGGACGGCTTCCGGGCGTTACGGTCGCCATCCGCAGGCTGAGCTCTCTTTCAAAGCGTTCTGGGGGTTTCCGAAAATAGGGGACCCTAATATAGTACCCTAAATTATTATAAGGACCCCAAAATTAAAATAGGGTACCCTAATTTTCTGAAACTCCCTTCTCTGTCTCTGAAGTCTCAATCAGTCGTGTGCAGCGCGTTGCATGGAGTGTCTCCGCAGGACAGCTGAGTAGCAAGTTGCCGCGGTCTTACTCGTGGCCGGTGCCTTCGAGAGGCTCATGTGGCACCCTGACACCACCATCAGGTTCAATGGAGCAGGTAGCACGGATACCTACACCTCGACGGCGGCCAGAGTCGGTGACGTTGTCTCCATGCCCCTTGCAAGGGATGAAATGTGCAATGGACAGTTCATGGCCTTGGCAGTCGGTGTGTGAGCGCTACCCATAGGCCCCATAGTAGTTCCTTGTTGTAGCTTATATTTAGGATCCGATTAGCTAATCCCAAAAAGGAACTACTATGGGGCCTATGGGTAGGCCCTAAATCCTAAACTATAGAACCCTAACTATAGAACCCTAAACTATAGAGCCCTGAATAGAACCCTGAACTATAGAACCCTAAACTATAGAGCCCTGAATAGAACCCTGAACCCTAAACTCGCTAACTATGGAACCCTACAGGCCCTAAAGTAGTTCCTTTTTGAGGGCACGCTCCCTTGACTGAAGGCTTTCTTGGACCAGTGTGGATGCCTTCGCCGGTGTCGAGGAGAAGCTTCTACCATTCAACCCCTCCCCCCCCACACATACATTTGTATATACTTGTATATATACATATAGAAAATAAAAAAATATAAATATAAATCTAAATATATATAAGTATATATATATATATATATGTATGGCGGGTTGACACATCTGGTGTCGGGTGTGTTTCATGAGGTGTGGCTCAGCCTCTTGCTCTTGCACTCGAATTATCTTACTCGGGTTCTTGGCTTGACCCCAACAGCAATTTTAGGGTGAATGTTCGGGCCTTGCAGGTACGTCACGGGGACGTCTCCCCAGGATCTCACAATCCAGAACGTCTTGTTGGTGCAAGACTCCAGCACACAGAGCGCAGACACACGCACACACACACACACACACACACACACACAGAGACCTAGGAGGTTCCCTCGGCGCTACAGTAGCACCCGCGCAGCTCACGCGCATGTGTTCATCACGGATGTGGCAGGACAAGGAACCGGTGCAACGAGTCCAGCTTCAGGAAGAGCCGTCCATGCCTCGGAAAGTCAGAAGCCGTGTGCTTGCTGCGCTGCAAGTTGCCAGAGAGCCACAGGTCGACGGCGCAGTTGCAGGCGCAGCCGTCACAACGGGCTCAGCCACAGCCAGAAGTCTCCCAGCAAGACCAGTTGAAGGAGCAGCAGCAGCAGTTGCAGGCGGACAAGTGGTGTCGCAAATGTTTAGCTACCAGAGATGGGCACAGACAGCTGCAATCCAGCGAGAGCGCATATATATATATATATACACATGTGTATATGTGTATGTATGTATGTACGTATGTGCGCATGTACGCAGGTATGTATGTATGTATGTATGTATGTATGTATGTATGTATGTAAACCTTTACTTCACTCGTCGGAAGCCTTTCCAAAGATCAAGACCTGCCTTGAACTTTAAACTGGCCTTGCGCACGCCTTCCATGTGACCCGCGCTAGCAACACTCCATAGTTTTGCATGCGAGCAGTTTGGACATGGCGTTCTAGACTGGTATCGTTTCACTTTGCAAGACGAGGCGTCGCGCAAGTATTGCCGCAGTTAAGTCAACTTCAGGAACAATAATATTGAACAGTGCCCATGCATGTGCGCTTGTGTGCTTGCTGATGCGTGTTGCGTGTGCGCTTGTTTGTGTGCCTGCTTTGTTTTATTTGTCAGTCTGTTTGTGATTTGTTTTTGCGTTGGGTTGTTCTGTCTGTTTGTCTGTTTCCTTTTAGAGAATATTTAGTCTCTCATTGAGTGGTTTTGCTCATCTTGCCTGGGTGTGCGTGCACGTGTCTACTTGTTTTTGTGTTTTGTGTGTCTGTTCGTCAATCTGCTTGGGTGTTTGTTGGCTTTCCAAGCTGCTGTAACCTGGCTCCGTAAGCGATGTGCGACATGGGCTGGGCCGGGTCACGTTCTGTTGAACGCACGCTTCCTCTATTCTACATCATCGGCGCATGAAGCACCGTTGCTCAGCTGGCCCAGCAGTCGAACCCAGGGTCACACTGCAAACGAGTTTCACGCAACGTTTTTCTAGCCATGGAGGTTGACTTTCATGTCAACCCTAACGGTTGAACGAGTTGTTCCACTGGAAGTTTCATAGGGCCCTCTGAGGCTTCAACTCACAGTTGCTCAGACACTGCCATTGTTTCACGTTGAGTGACGTCCACGCAGTGCAGCGGCATGTTCACAGCAGGCTTCTGCACAAAGCGTCAAAGTCAAAATGTGTGTTAGTTTGTTTGTGTATGTGCATGTGTTCTCCACATGGTCTCAAGTGTTCCACGAGGTCTCATACGATCCCAAAAGCAGCTTGCTCCCAGAAATCGTTGGCGATCTTCGACGGTGTAGGATAGTGTGTAATGCGAGGTGGATGCCGGGATCCTTGACATGCTTCTGTGTAAGCTTGAGTGTCCACTTGCACTGGGCCAGTGTGTCGACGTGTCGACACTTGTTTGATGCGCAGAATAGTGCTGACGCCTTGTAGGTACTTTCCTAAGGTGCAGCGTTCAGTTCAATACTTGCTGGCGCCGCGATCATGCGTAATCAAGGGATCCCAGTGGACCCGGGAGAGAGCACGAGCTGATTTGTTGCAGAGGTCTGCTCAGCCCCCGAGCTCCACTGGCGACATCTGTGATTCCCCACATTCCTAAACGGGATTGCCGGCGATAAGCTTTTCGGCAAGGATTTCAACGTTGCAACGACACCGCAGTTCATTGCAAGCTGCACCGATAGGGAACTGCGAAGCCTTTCGGGCTGTGCCTACAGCAGTGCAAGAGCGGCGAATGCAAAACGCTTCAACACCTTTTCTGACGCCTAAAAGCACACAATGTGTTGAAGCCTGATGCAACTCATTTCAACAAAAGTATGGGAAGTAGCAACATGCAGCTCATTTGCGTTGCCCTCGACCAGGCGCAGCTCCAGCAACTCCAGCAACTCCAAGCTCAGCATCTCGGTCGTGCAGAGGCACGGGAGGCTTCAGGTTCGCAGGACGCCGCGGTGGCGCCACCGAAAGCGGCCGCAAAGACTTCGCAGTCGCAGGCAAAAGCACACACAGCCCAAGCCCAGACCCCAAAGAACCAGCCGCTGTCTGCTCCAGCTCAAGCCAAACAGCCGAAGCAAAAAGAAGGAAAGGGACAAGCAAAGGAGAGCGCCCCGGCTCCCCCTCCCAAGAGCTCAGCTCCGAGCAATCAGAGCCCGGCTCCGAAGGCATCGCCCGCTGGGCAGCCTGCGCAGGCTGCAACGAGTGACAGACGCCCGTCTCAGCCGCAGCCGCAGCCTCCAAAAACGGAGGAGCCAAAGCCCAAGAAGAAGGCCGAGAAGCAAGAGACAGAGCAGTCACCACACCAAGCTAAAGTGCCCCAACCGCCCACGCAAGCCCCTCCAGCACCGGCCCAAGCACAAGCCATCGCGGCCCGGCGCCGGGAGGAGGAGCGCGCAGAGGAGCGCCGAAGGGAGGAGGAGACCAGAAGGGAGAACCAGAAGCGCGCCCAGGAAGAAGCCGCGAAGAAGAAGGAGAAGGAGAAAGACAGGGAAAAGGAGAAAGAGCTTAAGGAACACAAGGATTCCAAGGCGAGGCGCTTTGAACAGCAAGAGAGAGCCTCTGCAACTAAAGCTCCGCCCAGCCAGCCTCCAACGGTGCCCCCTGCTCCAGCAAAGGCCCCGCCTCAAGCACAGCCATCACAACTGCCCACGCAACCCCCGACGCTGCCGCCAGCAGCACCACCTATGCAGACCCAGCCAGTGCCACAACCCACTGTACCCCTGAATTCTGTGAATTCCGTTTGGATGGACAACAAGTCTCCAAGTGATTTCATGAGTCAACCCAGTGGCATGTTACAGGAAGAATCGAGTTCCATGCCACTTCCCCCACCACCCTCCATTCCACCGCCACCGGCACCAAGCAAGGCAGCTCCCATCAAGCCCAAAGCCATCAGTCCCATGAGCCCGGCACCAGCACAGGACATGGGCGACAGAGGCGCTGTGCGAGCGCCTCCGGGTATTGACCTGGGACTTCTCCTGACAGGCCCAGCTCCAGGCCTTTCCCCGCAACCGGTCCGGCCTCCACCCGGCATTGCCAATCCTTACGCCCCTGATCCTGGCAGCTTGGCTCCGGCAGAGGCTGCAGCAGTCTCAGCTGTGCAGGGGCTTCTTTGTCATAGTTGGGTAACATTTTACATTTTTAAGGGTACTTAAACCCAATAAGGAATATAAATGTAAATTTTTTAATACTACAACCATGAACTAGGCTTGGGACGGACAGCTTTTTTGGCACGCCCGGGCTGGACTTCGGCAATTTGGGTGCCATTGGCCTCCCACCAGGCATCGGCCCAGGCATGCCAGGGCCGAAACAGCCTCAGAGACTCCAACAGCCGGGCTCTTCGTCGGGGACGCAGGACGAGTCTTTGCGTCTCGTGAGCATGTAATGTATACCTTAACCTACCAAAACCTACTTTGTTGTAGGTTCTTATTCTAAAGCCCTAATATGGAATCTATAGGGGCCCTACATAAAAGTAGGTTTTGGTAGGTTAAGGTAGAGCGCTTCGAGACTGGCAGGACTTCTTTGATTCTTCATTGGATCGCTTGGGCATGTTCAACGAGCCTGGAGCGAACTCCTCTCTTTTCTCTTCACCCTTCGGCATGTTTGGCCCAATTGGAGGTGCCAATTTTGTCCACTGAGGGCCTGAGAGTGGCCTTCATGCGAACTCTAGTCATTCTAGATTCTAGCCTGTGGTGACTAGTTTCTCCTGCGACTTCTCACACAGGCTATGGCGAAAGGACCTCGTCCGACGGCAACGACTTCCTGTCGGATTTGCGATCGGACTCAAGGCGGATGGACGGCTGATGGAGCGATACAGCTTGGCCCTACTGCAGCTTGGAAGTCAAGCCGCCATATTCGCTGCACAGGCATGCACACACCTACATGATAGTACAAACGTGTCTTACCATGTCTAACCTTGTGTACATTTACACATGCGCTGCGCAGCCAGACACACAGATGTTGAGGTACATGCACCCGCATCCATATATGAATATGCACCTGCAGATGCCCATGTCATGTACGCATGTAGACACAGGGAGCCATGCTTTTCATGCACGCCACAACGTTAATTCTGCCCGCTCCAATCCTGAAGTAAGTTGCCAGAGCGTAAGTAAGTGTCTCCACATCGAAGCTGTCGTGGCATGCCTTGCGAATTGCTGATGGTTCCTGTAAGTTTGACGACTTGCTCACAGGTACCTAAGACCCCTGTTTCGTGGAGTCGGAAGTTGTTCAGCTCGCTTGCAGCAGACGAGGCCTACAAAGCGATGTTTGCCGAGTGCTTCCGGCAGTTTGGAGAGTGGCACGTCCAGCTTTCAAGCTGACTGAGAGAATCTGCCGCATGGTACTCTCTACTGGTAGACGCACATTGTGCATGCCAAAAAGGAACCAGTCGAGGTTGTTCTGCTTTCCGTGTTCGAGTGCGCAGCCACAGTGCCACAGCATTCACTGCTCCGGCTACCCGTTGCGCTTTGCAGGACTCGGTTAGCCGGATCAAGGTGTCAGCTGCTCAGGCTCACCAGCACTGCAGATGTCAGAGTCTGCTGCACCTTCTTGTCTAGTCCTGGAAGAGGCAACCTGGCGCTTTGTCGGCAGACTGCCGCAGTTCGCTTGTGCGAAACAAAGATGCGCTTTTCTGTGCCATGCCGTGGTGCTTTGCCTCGCAACATGGTTGGAGCATGTTGGAGCCTGATTTGTGCGCACTCGTCCATCGCTTGCCGTTGCCTTGGCCAGTGCTGGAAGTAGATAAAACTTTTGCTAGCCTGTGGATCATATAGCAGCTTCTCGCGAGGCAAGCTGTTCGGTGTCACATGCGCAACTGCAATTGCCGTTCGAGATGGCATGTCCCCGAGAGAAGAGTTCCGTCTTGGCACTTCAACCACCAGTCGCCCTTGCATCAATGTGCAGGGACGGGACGGGGGCTTCTTTTTCGGTGATGAGTTATATGCAAACAGACACGATGGCGGGATTCGGGGCCTGAAAGTATTGCGATCCTGCTCAGGGAAGGTCGTTGCCCGCCTTCGAGATGGCGGCGCAAGGCGCCAACAATGGGAACGGCGCTAGCAGCAGGTAGCCGCCTCAACTTCTGCCTGCACCGTCAGAAGTGGTGCACCCTTGATGCTGACCAAGGATTGGAGACATGTCAGAACTCCTGGGACTCTCGAAGCTGCAGGCACCATTCTTGAGATATGATTGGCAAGCGAAGCTCAAGAGCCCAGAATGCTTCTCCGTACTTGGGATATTTGCGCAGCATTTGTGCGGAACACCACGCGGACGGGCAAGTAAGTCTCAGCGCACGGTGGCAGATCAGTTAACCAAACCCCTGCAATACCAGCCCAGAGACTCCAATACCCCTTAATTCAGGAATATACCTTAAACCTTATTAGGGATCCTACTATAATTTAAGGTATATTCCTTGATTAAGGGGTATTTGAGTCTCTGAGATGCCAGTAATACCTAAACCCTAAACCCCTAACCCTAAACCCTAAACCCCTAAACCCCTAAACCCTAAACCCCTAAACCCTATGAATATGCCCCCTGTCAACATGGCCCAGCATGTCCACGTAGCAATCTCGGACACTTATTGCCATGCCTGCTTTGCGAGTGTGTGAGTCGAAACCCCTAAACCCTAAACCCCTAAACGTCTAAACCCTAAACCCCTAAACCCCTAAACGTCTAAACCCTAAACCCTAAACCCTGAACCTCTAAACCCTAAACCCTAAACCCCCCCCCTAAACACCTAAACCCTAGACCCTAAACCGAAGTAAGCACTAGAAGCCAGCGCCTTGCCTGACCTAGGA